CGGCAGACCTTTCCGAGAAGCGGGTCAGCTGCGCGGGATCCCGAGGGCCGCGCGCTTCGCTCGGCGTCCTGCCGCGGGCGCCTTCTGGGCTTGCTTTTACGCCCCGGTCTAGCCGTGGGCTTTCCCGCTGCTGCTGCCCAGATTTTCCGAGACCGGCCGACTGCCGTCGCCTTATGTGATGCTGCCTTTCCGTTGACAGAGGGCTCTGTTTTTCTGCCTCATCCTCAGGGTGCCGCAGCTCTTCTTTGTGGAATGTTGCGCTTGGTGTACCGCTGCAGCGAGATGGGCGTGCTGTTGCTCGCTCGTTGCACATCTCCCCACTGGTCCAGCCCTCCACCGGGCTACTCATGCGTCCCCATCTGAGTGCCTTGTAAGTGGCCTGGTGGACAAAGGCAGCCGAAGGATGGCAAAAGGATGTCAAAAACGGCTGTAGCAGCGTTGCACCGTTGCAAGGTCCGCTCCTTCCACACAACTTGCAGTGTCCCAGCAGACACCCCGGCGGGACAGAGCTTAGGGTGCGTTGCTGCTTTTGTCATTTCACCCCTCCTGTGGTACGAATTCAGGCCGGTACATGTGTTGTAACCACATACCTTCTGGGCTCCTGTGATCTGTTCCCAGTCTGAGCGATCAGGCCCCCAGTGCTGGAGAAGGAGGATAGATAGGGATCCTGACAACGACTGGTTTTTCTCCTGGAAGGGTGGAACTGAAGCTGTTCTTTTACAGGGGGGAAATGTAAAGAAGTTGATTCTGTTCTAGGAGATGTCTTGTAGAGCCCCCTGCTTCTTCCCCTTTTCAGTGTGGGGAGAGCCGGGCATGTTGACTTGGCCGAATATCACCATCTGTCCGCATATTTTGGCACTCTGCTGTGTCTGAGGGGCTGTAATAGGTTGTGATCTATGATTATTTATTTTTCTTAATAGCACTCTTGCATTTCTGGAGAGCACCGCACAGAAAAAGAACAATATAACAATCTCTTGATTGGCCAAAGGCTGTAATAAAGATGGAATAAAAATTCAATTCGGTGTAACTGTCTGCCATAAAAACAGTCTACTGCAACAACTCTATAAAGCAGTCTGACATAAAAGAAAACAACAGAAAGAACGGTATTTAGCTGTGTGCGGTTAATTTAAAAAGCAGCACGGCCCTAGAATTGCTTTGAGTGAATCAGCTTGTCATCTGTTGTCATGTAAAACTAGACCAGAGGGATGACACAGCGAACGTTCCATATTCAGGTGCCCATATTTCAGTTGCAAATCAGTATATACCCATTTTTTTCAGTAAATGTCATACTCCAACTAACTTTACATATTGCAAATTGCTTTTGGTTGACCTAATTATGGTTCTCTGAATAGACCGAAATTTGTAAGGCTCACCTACTGTGCTAAAACTGGAATGGGCAATCTGCAGCCCACACAGAGATCCCAGCACCCCATAATCCCCTTACTGAAGCGAAGTGGCTGATGTTTAGTAGTTTATTTTTGTTGAAATAAGGGTGGTTATGGCAGTGGGAGGCCTCTAGGAGGGAAACTACTCCAATTCCACTCTTAATCCTCTCCCTAACACTTCCCCCCTCCCCAAATGATGCAGCCAGAATTCAACCAGTGTCTCATCAAATTTATTTGGGGGGGTTGGGAGTTCCCATTCCCACCCTTAAAAACCTGAAAGACAAGCAAAAAAAAAAACCAAAAACCCAGCCCTGCTTAGTGATGTCACCTGCAAATCTCCAGCCACTTATGGGAGAAAGTTGAAGCCTAGTTGTGAGAAAGTTGCCCAACCCTGTGTTAAGTGAAAACCAAGTGAATCCCATGCTGGACTTAGCCAACATATGAACACCTATAGGTCCAATGTTACCAACTTGTAGGAGTGTGCAAAACGTCCCATCTCAAACTCTTGCATGTGAAATGTGGAAGGTCCTGTTTTCAGCAAGAAACTGCTTTTTTGTGTGAAACTGTATTTCAACGATGAAATGGTCTGTTTCGCACACATTCATTTGGATTGGCTGGTTGACCCTGGATAAATGAGCAAGGATTTCTGACAAAGAGTTGTTTAAGAAAAGCGACAACCAAATGGCAATAATAGCTGATGTGTACAAAACTAAAAATCATAAGGAAGGAGGCTTTGGCAAGTGGGAGAAGAATTCTTGGTCCTCAAAGCCAATTCCTGGTTGCAAATTCTTTGCAGTTGGGTTCATGCATCTCACTAAGTAGAAACGTCAGAATTGCTTTGGCTCTGAAATCCCTCATGGATTCCCCAGAGTTGTTACCAAACCATAAACTGCAGCATGACAGATGGAGAAATGCTTTTAAAAATGATTGGCTAGTAATAGGCCTTCTATTTAATTTTACTATCAATGAAATGAAATCAAACTTCATTTTGGACCCATGCTCATCTGCTACTTTTTGGAGTAGAGTCTTCAGCACAGTGTTCAAAGGCATAGTGCAGACTTGTTCCAGAAAAAGTTCTGTATTCCTGTGCTGGATCATAGTTATTTTAACTATATTTTGTGAAGAAGCCATTGTCGGCTAGATTCACCTGTCAAGCTTGCTTTAAAACTTGCTTTAAAAAATAGAATGACTTAGTTCACCTGATATGCTGGAGTACAGACAAGCACATCCTATTAAAATGTAACCTTGTGAGTGAATGGATTCTTTTGCACCAGGCTCCGGTTTGGCAGGTCTCAGCTTTGAAGGATAAACAAAAGCAGCTACGTCATCCTGCCCCTTTGCTAAGGTTACTGTGTGTTTGGATTCCAGCAGAACGGCCCATGTGTGAGCACGGTGTTGCCAGCTTGGCTGTGTAATTCTAGCCCGGTTGTGGGCTGGCCAGTTCCGCCAAAGTGGATCCGGCAACGGAAAGTGCAGTCCAGCTCAGATCTGTTCTTCCAGTGATGAATATTTCGTCATCCCATTGCACCAGACATGCCATCTGTTCAGGTTTCCTGATTTTTAAAATCTTTGAGTAAACAGTGAGTAATCACTACATCCTGAACCAAGTTGGTTTTCAACCACGTAACAGGTTGGCAATGGAGGAAGAAAGTGGACTGAATTGGGGCAGATCCTTTTTTTTTTTTCCCCTCTCCTGTCTGACCAGCAGCATGGCAATCAGGTAGCCAGGATTTTATATTGCTCTAGTCTTTTCAACCACGTAACAGGTTGGCAATGGAGGAAGAAAGTGGACTGAATTGGGGCAGATCCTTTTTTTTTTTTCCCCTCTCCTGTCTGACCAGCAGCATGGCAATCAGGTAGCCAGGATTTTATATTGCTCTAGTCTTTTCAACCACGTAACAGGTTGGCAATGGAGGAAGAAAGTGGACTGAATTGGGGCAGATCCTTTTTTTTTTTTCCCCTCTCCTGTCTGACCAGCAGCATGGCAATCAGGTAGCCAGGATTTTATATTGCTCTAGTCCTACACATTTCATAAATAGCCTGACAAGCAGGCGTTGAACAGGTGACACTTTTGCTAGCAAAGGGCGGGGAGGAGGGCAGTGCAGGCCATGCTCCACTTGCTAAATACCTGCTAGGGAAACCAGTGAGAAAGGTCATAGAAACCAGACCAGGAAATTAACATTTTTAAAAAGTCAACCACAGGGAGGACGCTGCTGCTTCCAGAAGGATTCAATCTCTCTTGTTTTTCCTGGAAGACAGATTTAATTGCTCTTCAGCAGAGGCAGCAGATCTAAAGCAAGCAAAATTGGACTGACAGCCCGATTTGGCCCAGCCTGAGTGTTGATGGGTGGAGGAGCAAGATGAGAGCCAGACAGCTGGTTTGTTCACTCAGGAGAAAAGGCAGAAGGAAAGCATTGCAGCTGCTAATAGTATTCTGAGCTTCTGCTTTGGCTAGCGAGTCTTGCCCCACTGGGGAGTTGAGGTGCTCCCCTTCAGCCTTGGGCCAGTGGAAAACTGTACCGGCATGATGTTTGTGGCCCCCATCGCCAATTGCCATCTTACCTCGATTGCAGTGGGCTGATGGGACTTCTCTGATTATGTGTGTGTGTGATAGGCAACGCGATTGAGTGATTCCTCTGCTTTGCTGTCTTGTTTCTTCTACAGTCTATGAGCCCCTGGGATAAATAGCCTCTAGGCCAGTGTTTCTCAACCTTGGCAACTTTAAGGTGGGGGGGCCTTCAACTCCTCACATCCCTCCCAACGACCACCCTCGTGGCGGGACGGCGGGGAGTGGGGCTGGCGGTACTGCGGATCAGTTCGGC